TATATATATATATATATATATATATATATATATATATATATATATATATATATATATATATATATATATATATATATACTAATAAGAGCCCAAGAGAGTTAGGCCTATAATGAGTAGAAAAAATGGCGGTCAAATATTTTAATCAAATTAATGGCTCAGATTGATCAGATTTTAATTTTTCCTTACGATTTTCTAATTTATCCTTAATGAATATGATTATTCGTTAACTTTTCCGTTAAATATTATCTTTTCCGTTAATTTCTGTTAGTTCACCGTTAACTTACTCATTGACTTTAATAAGAAAGGTTTTAGGCTCGAACCCCATCCTAATCAAAGTTGGCATAATTAGTACTCTATTTTACTCTTATTAAATTAAATAATAATTTAGTAGCTACAACAAAATAATACATATGCATTTCTTTAATTTAGAATTATGTGTCTACAATGTCTTTATTCAAAAAAAAAAATTATTTATTATCAATAAATTAAATAAGAGAAATAATTTCATTAGTTATATAGTATTTATTTTTCTCCAATATAAAAATTCTTTATATTCAAATTCATCAATTGATTATATTCGCTACATTGTCCCTACAATGTCTTTATTAAAAAATATTATTCATTATCAATAAATTAATTAAGAGAAAAATTTTTATTAGTTATATTGTCTTTATATTTTTCTTATGTAAAAATTCTTTACATTCAAATTCATCAATTAATTATTTTCACTACATTGTCTATTATTTTTTTTGTGCATTATTTTTTAATTTAATATCAAAGTTATAATACAAAATAATGCTATATATTTATTTACCAAGTATTTTATTAATACCATGAATTTTTTTTTTAAAAAATATAATTAATAAAGCCAATCATATTAACTAATTGAGGGATTTGCTGACAAAGAGAGTATTCAAATCACACAACAAATTGAAGTGAGACATACCTCGCAATGTCCTTGTTTGACAATCAGCAGTTAGCAGTTAGCGTTAGCGGATTATATTAGCGAATTTGACTAGCAAATTATATCAACAGTTGGTAAAAAGACATTTGAAGAAATTAATTACTGTTTAGATTAACATGTAAAAATGACCTAAGGGTATACATAATAATAATAATAATAATAATAATAATAATAATAATAATAATAATAATAATAATTGTTTTAAAAAATATAATTAAGCCAATCATATTAACTACTTGGGGGATTTATTGACAAAAAGAGTATTCAAATCACACAACAAATTGAAGTGGGTCGAAACTATCTCGCAATGTCCTTGTTTGACAATTAGTAGTTAACTCTTCAATATTAGTATATATTAAATATTTTATGCCCTAATTTTTATTTGCTCTCCCTTATGTCCCGTATTTGGTTTCAACCATAGCTATACAATTATTTTATTGACAATTATAATCAATTTTGACTATATTATCTTGCATTTTTAAACTTAGAATTGCCTATTTAAATATGCAAATTTAACATTCAATTACCTATGCATGAACAATTCCAATATAATCTTGTCTTGATATACTTTAAAGTACTTATTTCATTTTTTTTTTTAAAAAAACATTGGATATTATCTCAATCGCACAATACGCGTAAAAAACTAATAGTATAATAATATTTGTGTTAGAAATTTTAACATGTTATCGTGTTTAAACTTAACATGTCTCATATCAACTCATTAAAATGAATTGCCACATCTGACTAAATAAGTTTTGGTAAAACGAAAAACTAACAAAAGGCTAAAAGATGTAGTGGTGTAATTGGACTTTGAAGTTGTGGTGCAAGTAACAAGTTAGAGTCATCCAATTAATTGAATTTATACGTATTAACTAATAAATCAATTTTCAAAAAAAAAAAAAAACTAATAAATCAATATATCAATGACCTTCTGGTCTTGTGGTATAAGTAACTCTTTCATTTGAAAAAGACGACAAATTCTACTCGTGTGATACTGATTCTTCAATTCTCAAACTCTCAAGTTCTTCAATTACCTACTTCAAGTGGCAGATACAGACAGTGATTCTAAAATTCAAAGTGAGGCAAGATATTTAGCTACAAATGAGCTTAGTAACTTTGAATTTTTGTTAGCCACAATCATTTGGTTTGAAATCTTATCTGCGGTTAATTTAGTTAGCAAGCAATTACAAACAAAAGATATGCTTCTTGATGTTGCTATTAATCAAATTAAAGGGTTAGTTTCTTTCTTCAAGAATTATAGAGAAAATGGGTTTTCTACTGCCATGGATACTGCAAAGGAAATTGCCACTGAATTAGAAATTGAGCCAGTGTTTCCTCAAAAGCGAAAAATTCATAGAAAAAGACAATTTGATGAGAGTGCTCATGATACTTCACTATCTCCAGAAGAATCTTTTAGAGTTCATTATTTTTTATACATTGTAGATCAAGCTATTATTTCATTGACCCAAAGGTTTGAGCAATATGAAGTATATGAAGGAACATTTGATTTTTTGTTTAGTTCTCACAAGTTACAATCGATGGCTGATATGGATTTGAAATCTTGTTGCATTTGTTTAGAAGCAGCTCTTAAGAGAGATGAATAGTGTGGTGATATTGACGGAAATGGATTGTATATTGAGCTAAAATTGCTTAGAAAGATTTTATCGAAAGAAAAGCAGTGAGTATATTGAATTCATTGAAACAGTTGGGTTGTTTTCCAAATGCTTCTATTGCATATCGAATATTATTGATTATCCCAATTACTGTTGCCTCTGTAGAAAGGAGTTTTTCAAAGTTGAAATTATTGAAATCGTACTTACGATCAAGTATGTTGCAAGAGAGACTGAATGGATTAGCTTTAATCTCTATTGAAAATGACATTTTGGAAGAAGTTGATATCAAAAGCTTGGTGGATGATTTTGCGTCTAAATGTGCACGACTCATGTCACTTTTTAAATGAAATTTTAGATGTATTTTTTTATATAATATTTATATTTTAAAATTTTGAAGACAACTTTTTGAACAACTGTTATTTATATATAAAATTAATTGAAAAATGGAGCCCAAATTAAAATATTGCACAGGACCCCAATTTTTATTGGAACGACCCTTCTTTAAAGTACTTATTTTTTAAAAAATAAAAACATTGGATATTATCCCAATCGTGCAATGCGCGTAAAAAACTAGTAGTATAGTAATGTTTGTGTTAGAAATTTTAACATGTTATCGTGTTTAAACTTAACATGTCTCATGTCAACTCATTAAAATGAATTGCCACATCTGTCTAAAGTTTTGGTAAAAAGAAAAACAAAAGGCTAAATGATGTAGTGGTCTAATTGGACTTTGAAGTTGTTGTGCAAGTAACAAGTTAGAGTCATCCCATTAATTGAATTTATATGTATTAACTAATAAATCAGTTTAAAAAAAAAAAAAAAAAAAGCTAATAAATCAATATATCAATGATCTTCTGGTCTTGTGGTATAAGTAACTCTTTCATTTGAAAGATTATGAGTTCAAGCTAAATTTCAAAAAAGTTCGAGCCTCGGTGGAGGCGTTATTGGTTCTTTATGTTTCAGTAGGTTGAGAAAGTATATGAACAGATACTACAATGTAATAGAACCAGTAACATTCAAAAAAAAAAAAGAAGCTAAATTTCAAAAAAGTTTAATTGTTTTTATAAATCAGTTGAAAATCTCTATTTATCAAATTACCAATATTAATCATAAATAAAGGAATAAAATATACTTACATGCCTAATATCTTATCCCGAGTTTAGACCTTTCATATTTAGATATTAATCAAATAACTTTGACCTTTTAAAAAATATTATGATTAACTAATTTAATTGAAATATAACTCAATTTGATTAATTAAAAAAATTAATTTTTACTTTGTTGAATGGTTTTATCAAATTTGAATGGGAAAATGGTACTTTTCCCCTGAGTTTTACACTTATAGCACTTTTTCTATCTGAATTATTCATATAAGTACATTAGCCCCTTTAATTATTTTAAGAGTGGTGATTTTTTCTCTGATATATTAAATTGACATTTCTACTCTTAAAGTAAACATTTTATTTATTTTTATTATCCAACAAATTATTGCTTATACGTAGGGATGACCACGGTTCGGTTCGAACTGAATCAGACACTATAATATTCGAATTGAAAGTTTCGATTATGATTCAGATCCAGAACCCAGTATTTGAATTTTAGTTTATTAAAATTATGAATAAAGAAAAACTAGATCCTAAATCGTGAACCGGCAATTCTGGATCCGATTCGCGATTTTAAACGGTCTTTATTTTAAAATTTTATTTTTTATTTTAAAAATAGTTTAAATTCAACAAAAATGTACTTTAAATTTTTTTTTTTTCAGTTCAGAACATGAACCGCTTGTTCTGATTCGCGATTTTAATAAACTCTAAATATCAGGTTTCGATTCTAAATTGTAATTTGAATATTTCAGTTTGGTTGTTATAGTGTCTGTTCTGTTTGAACCAAATCGTAGTCATAATTTGTTGGAGAAGAAAAATAAATGAAATATTTATTTTAAAGGTAAATATGTCTATTTAACATTCAGGGGTGATAAATAGCCACTTGAATAATTTAGGGAGAAAAAGTGCTATAAATGTATAACTAATGGAAAAAAAATGTTATTTTCCCTTTATATATTTGAACCTCGGGGTAGCTCGAGTGGCAGGATTAATCAACTTAAATCTTGCTTTCAACGACAGATCATGCCTAACTAATCAGTTGGAGAACGACTTCTTGTGCACAAGAATATACAACAATAAATTGTGATTTGCCTCTTCCAATACTATAGGGCGCGGTTTTCGATTAATCTGACAAAGATAGAAACTTGATGTCAATTAGTTTTTTTTTTTTTTAAAAAAATTATTAATAACAGGATGGATTATACTGGTGTATTTAATCATAGCTCAAGGACATACAAATAATAAATATTAAAGTTTTTAAATTAGTGAATTTAGACTCATTTTAATTTACTGAATTTTAAAAATCTCTTTGTACACAACATTTATAGTGTTAGACCACTTGAGAATTAGGACCACCGCCGCCCCGCCGTGAGTCTTGACGCCGCCACTCTCCGCCGAGGTCGCTGCCATCGCTGCGTGCCTCACGGTGCCTGCTCCATCGAGTTAATTAGCGAGTCATCTCTTGAATCCATCGCTGTATGTATATAGTGTTTACGGGAGATTTCCCTCTTTTTCCAGAAGTAAACTGGATTTCATTTTCTGGGCAAGGAAACAGTAGCTCTGATTGTAATGGAGAAAGGCAACGCCCGTTGCATTTACGACGCCGTGTCATCTAATGCTGCAATCCTTTATTTTGTTGGTGCCGTGACGATCGTTATAATTCGGGTTGTTTTTGTTATGTATCGGAGCAGCAAGCCGCCCCGACCCAAATCACCGCGACCCCTCTGCACACTCATTGTATTGGGTTCAGGTTTGAATTGGATCCTGCCATTTCTGTGAAGTTTGAATGTGTACTGTTTATTTGATTTCTCTAACTTCTGGTCTTTATTTTGATGCAGGTGGTCACACGGCAGAAATGATGAACTTGTTGTCTGTACTTCAAGAAGATAGGTTTAAGCCTAGGTTTTACATTGCTGCTGCAACTGATAATATGAGTCTCCAAAAGGCACGAGTATTCGAGGACTCTTTAGTTCACAAGGTATATTGCATATTTCCAATAGATTTGATGACATTTATCCCCATTATTTGCTTCTTGAAATGCTTTTCTGATGTTAGATATATCTGTTGGAAACTGCAGTGAACTCTGAAGAAAGTGTGTTCCTACAATGTGTTAGATTTGTTTATATTCATAGTGTTAGATCTAAATATAATCTAATGATACTGAATAGAATTTACGAGAAACCTAACCCTAATCTCGTAGTAGCGGAAGGGGAAGCGGTGTTGATCTCCGGCCATAGTTGATATCTTGTTGTGTTGCCGTTTACCTCTTGAATGGTAGACCTGCATGATTACTTTAGCCGTTTTGTCCCATACTTAACTCAGAACCCTAGATGGTGTATTGGTATTTTCTGAGCAATATGAGTACCTTAAACTGAAGGTGCTATATAATGTATATTCTATATCCCATCAATCTAAGCTCTATATTAGACACAAAAAGTCTGGTTGACTAACAATTTATAGTTATTCAGTCCAACCAATCTACTTAGTAAGCCTAGTCAACTTTGGGAAAATCTTACACAGTCTACCAAATATTTTGTATTAGACTGTAAATTGTTAAAATATATATCTTCATTAGTTTTAGGCTTTCTCTAATTTTGATGTTTTAAAGAGAAGAATTTTGATAAATAATTATGAACTTTCTATGGATGAGAAAAAACTACTCTGCTACTACTTTTGTGTGTACACTTTGAAATGTGAAATTTTCCCACAGAGGTAATAAGTTTTGATTAGTTAATTTCCTTTTATAAATAGAAAAGCATCCCACAGAAGTCTGTCTACGTTGCCCATTCTTATTTCTACTTGGTGTATCTTTAATCTAGTTTACGTAGATATAAGGATTATCTGTTGTTGTAGGCAGGGTCTGAGGCGGTTGGAACAGCTCAGTTCATGCAGATATATCGAAGCCGAGAGGTTGGTCAATCATACGTAACCTCAGTTGCTACAACCTTAATTGCTATCGCTCACGGATTGTGGTTAATGATCAAAATCAGACCTGAAGTGGTATGGAAGACATACCTATTATGTTTCCCTTGATTCCTGAAGTTATTTGAAAGATTAAATATTCTCTGCCCTTCACTTCGAATCATTTTTTAGGAATTTATGTACTAAAAATTCATTTTGCAGATTCTCTGTAATGGCCCTGGAACTTGTATACCCATATGTGCAATTGCATTTTTCTTTAAGGTATGTTTACTTTTCCAAGTAACTTCCCATCTTGCCTACTTTGATTTGATCTACTGGTGCAATTAGTTAGTTTAGAGGTGAAATCACTGACATAATTTGTCCTTAGGATTGTTAAGTTCTGAATTGATATGTTGCTAAAGTTGCACTTATAATCTACCATTGAAAGTTGAAACCTTTAATTCTGATCTCAAAAAAAAGAAAAAGAAAAAAGATTGCACATGTAATGTTGTCATTAGTGATATAAGATAACAATAGAAGACCTATTGATATATTAGAATACTTCTTCCTTCTTAAACCGCAGAAGAATATCTGTATTTACCTTCAGAGGAAGGCACATGTTATGAATTCTATTTCCTGAATTTCTATATCCAATTCAATAACTCCCTCCTGAAATGAATAAAGAGGATTCTAGATGTATCTGTTGTGTATTTGATTTATAGGGATCTAAGTAAGTAGTCATATGGAAACTTATTTCCTTATTAGAAGTCTTCTAACATGTATTTATATGGCTGTGTATTCCCCTTCCTAACACAGATTTATAAACCTTCTATTTACTTTCATACAATATGTATTTTCTCATTCCTTGATTCTTCATCTCTGCTTCCGCCTAACTGGCGAGTGGTTGTTATTTTCCACCCACTAGGCATTTGAATCTTTCAAATTTAACAGTATACTCCAGCAAAAATGATTTGTGAGGAGAGTTGTGCATTTTCACAGCTATTTTCTCTCTTTATAAGTAGTGATATTTAGTATTTATCTAGACTTTCTCTCGCCTTTTTGTTTTTATAGGTACTTGGAATCAGGTGGTCATCTATATTTTATGTTGAGAGCATTGCCAGAGTGAAAAGGCTTTCTTTGAGCGGTTTGCTCCTTTATAAATTACACATGGCTGATCAATTATTTGTTCAATGGCCACAATTAAAAAGCAAATATCCTCGAGCTCATTATGTGGGTCGTCTTATGTGATTATGCTCTATGGTGATGGTGAGTTTGCAAAACTTGGATGTTGATCTTATTTCTCATTCTCTTAGCTCTTTTAGGAATTTCGGGTTGACATTAAAGGTTATTTGTTTCAGAAAAGGTTGTCAGAGGCATGGTTGTTACCGGAAAAGTTGACCACATGCATCTTCATAGTACTATATTCAAAGAGAAAACAAATACTAATGCATCATTTTTTTGTGAGGTTACATTCTTTTTTTGTTGGTAACTACATTTACATGTATTATACAAATGGCTTTGGGTATGAACATAGTACATTTCCTAGCCAATAGAGGTGTCTGCAATTCAGCGAGGGAATTAGTCATTGTATCTGACGGGACCCTGGGCTACACCCAAAAAAAGATTGCATTTCCTAGCCATTTTCTTGTGTGGGGATTTATTCTCATGATATTTCCTAGCCGTTTTCTTGTGTGGGGATTTATTCTCATGCTATCATGAGGTGTAAGCTCCATGCCTCCAAATATAGTGTCCTTTTGTTTTTCTAGGGGACAAATATTAGCTCCCCCTCCTTTCTCCCCTGTAGCATTATGCCATACTTGGTATGGCCAGAGGCTCTTGTTTTTTTTTTTTTTTTTTTTTTTTTTTTTTTTTTTTTTTTTTTTTAATCTTTTGGTGGGCTGAAAAGTTTGTTGGGAAAAGGCAAGTTATGTCATGACTTATGGTCAACATTGCATCACGAATTATGGTTCATTATTATACGGTAAGCTTATTAAAAAGTTTAGGTTTGGACGACTTAATTGAACTATTTTACTGGTTTAGAGAATTTCAATGGAGTTTTTTTTTTTTTTTTTTTTTTTTTTTTTTTTTTTTTTTTTTTACTTAGAGGACCTAATTGCACTATCCATGTGACTTAGGGGACCAATTTGACACTTTTTCTTAATATTTATTGATGGATTTGCAATATTGATAAAATGAACTTTGTGCATTATAAAAATGAATTTCTAGTATTCTCTTACGGTATGTTTGGTTTGCGAAAAATATTTGAGGTAGAATGTAATTGAAATTTTATGGAAAAGAAATAATTAGGAAGATTAATTCTACGGTTGAGTTTGAAATTATAAGGAATCTACTATTGGAACGGGCCTGCTGGAAGACCAATAATGGAATTGTAGAGCTCGTTGAGTCGGGGCAAAAACAAGGCGGGATGATCCTCATCGTACCTCAAGATCAACATGGTGCAAGACTGGGAAATGATGCTGAAATTAGTCAGGAAGTCCAAGTTGAAAAGGGCGCACTCTATTTCCACTTCAATTATTATTGTGCAGCCATCCAACAAGACATTATATTGTCCGGTATTGCAATTTAGCCCACACTTCAACATTGCATTGAAAAGACATTTTTATGCAAACTATATGTCCATGATGAGAACTGATTGTATTGTATTAACTGAACATAGATTTTAAAGAGATCAGTAGAGAGTCACAAGGTGACAAGGATAAGAAGTTCTAAACAGACTCGGATACATATAGTCCTAATACTCCCCCTCAAACATAGTGTATACGAGTAACCTGTAGCTTGTTTCTAAGTGAAGAAAATCTTGGACCAGGTAGAGCTTTGATGAATATATCAGCAAGTTGATCCTTTGTAGAGATGAAATTGACTTGAATATCACGTGAAGTTACTTTATCTCATACAAAATGATAATCAATCTCCACATGCTTTATGGGTGCATGAAAGATTGGATTGGCGCACATATAGGTAGCACCTAGATTATCATACCATAGTTTTGTAATAGAAATACCTGGCACCTGTATCTCACGAAGCAACGACATAATCCATAGAACCTCAGCACAAACATCTGCAAGAGCTTTGTATTCGGCCTCGGTGGACGATCTAGCAACAGTTCTCTGCTTCTTACAAACCCAGGATATAAGGTTATTACCCAAGAATACTGCAAAACCATTTGTGGACTTACGATCTTTTGGACAACCAGCCCAATCAGAATCAGAAAAGGCATGTATCTCCTTTGAAGCACACCGTTGTATGCGTAAGCCATAGCCAATAGTTCCCTTAACATACATGAGTACACGTTTGAGCTGTTTCCAGTGCGAAGTGGTGGGGGCATGCATGTGTTGATATAGCTGATTGACTGCAAAGGATAAATCAGGTCGTGTGACAGTGAGATATTGTAATGCCCCAGCTAGACTCCTGTATTGCGTGGGGTCATCATATAGATCTGCATTAAAGGGAACAACTTTCGAAACAGATATAGGTGTAGAAAGAGGTTTGCAGTTTGTCATTCCAGCACGTGTTAGAATATCATTCATGTATTGTTGTTGAGACAATATAATCCCATCGTTATTCTTAACAGTTTCAATGTCCAGAAAGAAATTTGGTTCGCCAAGATCTCTAATTTTGAATGTAGCAAACAGTTTAGACATGAGTTGAGAGAGTAGGGCCTGGTCACTTTCCATTACAAGTATATCATCCACATGATGAGATAATTGATTATCAATTAAATTCCAAAAGGATAGGAAATACAATACTAATAGCTAAACAGTTCTACGTAAATAAGTCCTATCTAATAGGGAAGCCACAGAAGACTAAGCCTATTACACAGACTAATAAAGCAACATATAAAATGTGACAAAATAATAACATGACTAACACTCCCCATCAAGCTCAAGGGTGGTGAGCAACGACATTGAGCTTGTCCCGAAGGGCTGAAAACCGCGGACCTGGCAGCGGTTTGGTGAAAATATCTGCGAGCTGATCTTTAGTCGATACAAAATTGACCAGCAGGTCCCCCGACGCTACCTTGTCCCGTGCCAAGTGGAAATCGATTTCCACATGTTTAGTTCTGGCGTGAAAAACTGGATTCGCACACAAGTAGGTTGCACCTAAGTTGTCACACCATAGAGTGAGGGGCTCACCAGTGTGAAGCCCAAGTTCCCTAAGCAACGAGACAACCCATGTTACCTCTGCAGCCACATCTGCGAAAGCTTTGTACTCAGCTTCGGTAGACGACCGAGCAACTATACGCTGTTTCCTGGAAAGCCATGAGATCAGATTTTTACCTAAGAACACTGCATAGCCTCCAGTACTCTTCCTATCAAGCGGGCATCCTGCCCAATCAGAGTCAGAAAAGGCATGAATAGCAGCGGAGTCTGAGACCGTGATGCGGAGACCATAATCGAGAGTGCCCTTAATGTATCGCAACACCCTTTTGACCAAGGCCCAATGATCAGTAGTCGGAGAGTGCATGAACTGGCGTAGACGATTCACAGCATATGAGAGATCCGGCCTCGTGATAGTTAAATATTGCAGAGCTCCAACAACACGACGATACTGTGTCGGATTGTCATGCGGGGTGGTAGTAGATGACACAGGCTAAGTAACGGCAGCTGGAGTAGCTAAGGGCTTGCAGTCCATCATACCTGCCCGAGTTAAAATATCATTCATGTAACTGAGTTGAGACAACATGAGACCATCGGCAGTCTGTATAGTTTCAATGCCGAGGAAGAACCCGGGTGAGCCAAGGTCGCGTATCTTGAAAGTCGTGGACAAACGCTGAAGTAGGGAGGTAATGAGGGCGGGATCATTACCCATCATAATGATGTCATCGACGTACACAAGTAGGTATACTCGAGAGGCATCAGTTGAGTAATGAAAGAGAGACACGTCTGTCTTCGAGGACGAAAAACCTGCAGAGAGTAAATAATCATGCAGTGTTTTGAACCACGCCCGAGGGGCTTTCTTGAGTCCATATAAAGACCGCTGTAGGTGGCACACATGATCAGGATGAGTCGGGTCTTCATACCCTGGCGGCTGTTTCATGTATACTGTCTCTGCTAGGTGCCCATTTAAGAAGGCATTATGGACGTCGAGTTGCCTCAGAGTCCAGTTATGCGAGACGGCTAAAGAGAATAGCAGCCTGACTGTAGTCGGTTTGACAACAGGGCTAAACGTATCAAAGAAGTCTTCGCCTGCCACCTGATTTAACCCCTTCGCAACCAGACGGGCTTTGTACCGCTCTACGGAGCCATCTGCGGTCCGTTTAGTGCGGAACACCCACTTGCATCCAATAATATTCATGTCGGGTTTAGGAGAGACAAGAGTCCAAGTATTATTATGTAATAGCGCATTGAACTCCTGGTCCATAACGTCACGCCATTCTGGGTGCCCAACTGCTTGTGAATAACAAGTGGGATCAGTGGTTATAGTGAGAGCTTGAAGTTTTTCACCAGTGCCCCGAGTCATATGCTGCAGCCTCATTACATGGCCTCGTTCTCGAGGCTCAGTTCTTGCGGCCCGCTTTCTGTGAGTGATGGCCCGAACAGGACCTTCAATTGTCAAGGGGGCGGGCTCTTGCGCCAAGGGAGTGGGACTCGGAGACCTTTGTAGATCAGAGTCAACAACAGCCGTGGACCCTGTTTGTGTTACAATCGGGCTAGATGCCCAAGGTAAGACAGGTAAAATAGCTGTAGTTTTGTCCTGTGCCTCCAAGTCTGAAAAAGGGAAAACAGTTTCGTCAAAATGTACATGACGACAGATATAGACTTTCCCACTTGTTAGATCCATGCATCTATAACCCCTAAAGGATGAGGGATACCCTAGGAAGACAGAGGGTGCCGAGCGGTAGTCCATCTCGTGCCGATTATATGGCCTAAGATAAGGAAAGCAACGACACCCGAAGACTCGAAGAAACGTGTATGGTGGTGTGGTTTTATAGAGACGGGTGTACTGACTTTCATAGTTTAGGACTGAAGTGGGTAAGTAATTGATTAAGTTTGTGGCTGTTTCAAAAGCATAGTCCCAGTAGTGTTGAGGAACACAGCCTTCGGCTAGCAGGGCTAGTCCTGTTTCAACTATGTGTCGGTTTTTCCGTTCAACGCGGCCATTTTGTTTGTGCGTGTACGCACATGACTGAACAATGCCCAATTTTTTGAACACATGATGCAACTTGCGGTATTCCCCGCCTAAGTCAGACTGAACAGACTTGATAGAACGCGAAAATTGACGTTCTACCATGACCTGAAATGACTCAAAACATTTGTATATATCAGATTTTACCCGTAAGGGATAAAACCACGAAAAGCGCGAATAATCATCTACAAAAAGCAGAAATTAATGAAATCCACTAGTAGAGATTACAGGTGCCGGACCCCATATGTCCGTGAAAATTAAATCTAACACATTTGTACTAGAAGACGCAACTCTATTTATGGGAAATCTAGAGGATTTGCCAAGTTGACATGATGAGCACAATTCGGCCGGCTTTGTATTATTTGGTGAAACTGGGCAGAACTTTAGGACTTGATTCTGGACATGTGCATGGGGATGACCCAACCTGCGGTGCTAGACAACTGGAGTGGTACGGGATGTGAGAAACACAAAATGAGATTGAGAAACAGGAAGCTTGTACAACCCGCCCACCGTAGGACCTTTAAGCAGAACCGCCCGAGTGACCGAATCCTTCACAACGAAACAATCTTTGTGAAACTCAAAGAAAACATGATTATCATTTGTTAAACGATAAACAGATAATAATGGGATAGATAGCTGGGCAACATATAACACATTTGACAGATTTAGTGTTTTGGAAACATTAGACATGGATGGTATAGAAGCATGACCAACTCGTGAGATCATCAAACCTGTGCCATTACCAACATGCAGGACATCACCACCATTATATTCATCGGACTGTGACATCATAGTCATGACGGGTGTAGCATGCACCGTTGCCCACGTGTCCGGGAACCACCCCGAGGCGGTGGAACCGGCCGCCGTGTCATCGCCGGGAACAGCCATGTTGGCTTGTGGTGCGGGTTGCGGAGCGTAGCGCTTGAAGCAATAAAGGGCTGTATGCCATTGCGCCCTACATATCTGACATCTAGGACTGCCGCCACCTCTGCCGTTGCGGCCACGGCCACGGCCACCTCTACCGCGACCCAGATTCCCAGAGTTGCCGCGACCTGAGTTCTGTCTGCCTGCATTGCCGCGTCCTCTGTTGCGGCCACGATGTAACACCCCCCAAACAAGACCTATATAAAAGCCTTAACACATGCAGATTAAACAACAAAACTAGCACAACGGAAGATAAAACGAAACTGGATAAAAGAAATTCAACGGGTTGTCACGCCACGTCTACCAAACACGGTAAACGCTACGGCAAACAATCTGCAAATGTATACATCTATCCCAACATCAGTCTAACTACATTGGCGCACATGCCACAAAAGCAAGGATAAAGGTGCTAAGCTACCAGGATCTAGACATCGCGCTCGTCTAAACATCACCTGAAAGATACAAAGATAAACATTGGGACGACGCTCGGTCAGCGAATAATGCTGGTAACCCACCAATACCGTTAAGTATCATAAATAGATAAATATAAGTCATAAAAACCATTTTCGAAACGGAATACATATATATAAGTCAAAACCAAGATCAACTGTCAACACAAGACTCATCACTCTCAAGGATAACACGGGAACACATCCCAAACCACAAAGGTTAGCCACACGCAAAGGATAAAGACTCACCCAACGGCAACACATGCCAAAACAACACAAGCCTCCGTGACTACACACGTCACGAGAGAAGATCACACAACGCCGGTTTTACAAGCCCTCGCAACATCACCCATCACGAGTTGGTATGCCTTCCTTATGCCCTGTTCCAACCTTATGGCTACCCCCAACCTTGTACCTTCTTTCCAACCATTACCTCCAGGACCCCTGTACTTCTTAGTCCAACCTTATTCCCCCGGGACCGTCGTCCCCCACCAACAACCACCAACGAAAACCACCAATCACGGCAACACATTCCCGGATAACACATGTTATCCCCCAAAAACGTGGACCTATCACTCAGGCCACAACTCCATAATCACGTCACGACCACCACGAGGACCGCTACAATACCTTGGTGACTAGTGTCCCATACCACTAATCGTGCAATCCAGGTAGAGCCACACACGCACCACAACTCAACAAGAGTCAAACAACGGATCACAACGAAGGTATGAAACATAATCAAGGAACGGGTCACAGCCCAACAACATCAACGATGAATAACACAAGTTATCATCAACCAAACGGAAGGTACAAACAACACACACGCTAGCATTAAGACAACAAACTAGCATGCTTATCAACGGGGAAACTCAAGATAGTTCCGAGGAACACACAAGACACCTCTTGGTCCAACGAAACACAATGTTGAACACTTAGCACGATTCAAGACACCAAAGTCCTACATGGATACCTACCATATAGTTCTAGACATACGAAACATCAAGAAGACACTCAAATAGTTCCACAAAAGAACATCGGGAAGCCAAAAGACCAAATACCGAGTCAAACAAATCACGGGGAACAAATCCCGATCCAACTCCACTCGTGTACCCGCGGGTGGACCCACGGGTAGTGCCCTACCCGTGGTTCCACCCGCGGGAACACTATCCCAC